TGATGTGCACCAGAATAATTTTCTCGAACAGCTTGCCTAGGATCGAAGTAAGACTAACTGGCCTATAGTTTCCTGGGTCCTCCTTCTTCCCCTTTTTGAAGATGGGAACCACACTGGCCCTCTTCCAGTCCTTTGGCACCACACCAGAGCACCACGAGTGCTCGTAAATCTGTGCCGGGGTCCTGCAATGACTGCAGCCAATTCCATGACCTCTGTCCTTTCTCCAGCTCTTCTGTCTCCCCTAGGAGCGTGGGGACAAGCCCTGGGCACAGCCTTCCAGATGTGGACGTCCCATGGATTTATAAAGTGGCATCATGACACTTCTTATTTACTTCTCAATTCCCTTCATCATCACCCTTCATGTGTGAGCTTTAAACTCAGCATTGACTCATGGTTTCATGGTGAGCCTCATCCTTGTGTCTTGAGAGAGTCAAGATTGTCTCGTGAGGTCCCTTCCAGCCCCTGACATCTATGAATCCATGAATGAACCAATCCCTGGTAACTTTCTTTTGAAAACTAATCCCTCAAGAACCAATATCTGGTGACATTGTTTCAAGAATAAGTTTCCAAGAACCAATCCCTGGTGAGTTTCTCTCAAAAACCAAATCCCCAAGAACCAATCCCCGGTGACATTCCTTTAAGAACCAGCCCACAAGAAGAAATCCCCAGTGACTTTTTCTCAAGAATCATACATACCCCTAGGAACCAATCCCTACTGAATTTCTCCCAAAGATAGATCAGTCTCTCATGAACAAACCCACGTGGCTTTCTCTCAAGAACCAACACACTAGGAATCAATCCCTACGGACTTTCTCTCGAGAATCAGTTCCCCAAGAACCAGTCCCTGGTGACTTTCTCTCAAGAACCAATTCTCAAGGACCAATCCTTGGTGACTTTCAGTCAAGAACCAACCCCCGGTGACTGTCTCTCAGGAATCCATCCCCCAGGGACCAATCCCTGGTGACTTTCTTTCAAGAGCCAATACATCAAGAGCCAATATCCAGTGACTTTCTCTCAAGAACCAACCCACCAAAAACCGATCCCTGGTGACTATCCTGTCCTGAATTAGTTCCCCGAGAACCAACCCCCAGCGACTCTTTAAAGAATCAGTCCCCCAGGAACCAATCCCGGGTGAATTTATCTCAAAGACCAACCCACCAAGGACCAATTCCTGCTGACTTTCTCTCAAGACTCAGTGCCCAAGAACAAATCCCCAGTGATTTCTCTCAAGTACCAATACACCAAGAACCAATCCCCAGCATTTTCTCTCAAGAATCGATCTTTCAAAAAAACCAGTCCCCAAGGACCAATCCTTGATGACTTTCTCTCAGGGATCAACCTCCCGAAGAAACAATCTCTACTGATTTTCTGTGAAGAACTAATCCCCCAAGGACCCATGCCTGGTGACTTTCTCTCAAAAATCAATCCCCAAGGAACAATCCCGGGGAATGTCTCTCAAGGATCAATTCCCCCAGAACCAATCACTGGTGACACTGTCTCAGGAGCCGATCCGCCAAGAAGCAATCACAGAATCACAGACAATGAGGGCTGAAGGGAGCTCAGGAGGTCACGTCTAGTCCAACCCCTGCTCCAAGCAGGACCAGCCCCAACTCCATCATCCCAGCCAAGGCTTTGTCTACTGGGTTGGAAAAACCTCCAAGGATGGAGACTGCACCACCTCTCAGGGTACCAGTGCTTTACTACCCTCCTCATAAGAAAGTTTTTCCTAATATCCAATCTAAACTGCCCTTGCTGCAGCTGGAGCCCATTGCTCCTTGTCCTGTCATCTGCCCCCACTGAGACCAGCCCAGCTCCATCCTCTTTACAGCCCCCCGGCAGGGAGGTGACAGCTGCTGTTCAATCCCCCTCGGTCTTCTCTTCTCCAGACTCAATCAGCCCAGCTCCCTCAGCCTCGCCTCACCAGTCCTGTCCCCCAGCCCCCAAACCATTCCTGTTGCCCTCCACTGGACTCTCTCCTATTTGTCCACATCCTTTCTCTGGTTGGGGCCCAAAACTGGACACAGGATGTGGAGTCCCCAGTGCTGAGTAGAGGGGAAGAATCACTTCCCTCAGCCTGCTGGCCACACTCCTACCGATGCAGCCCAGGATGCCATTAGCCTTCTTGGCACCAAGGGCACACTGCTGGCTCCTGTTCAGCTTCTTGTCCCCCGTCACCCCCAGGTCCTTTCCTGGTCAGCCCCAGCCTGCACCGGTGCATGGGATTGCTCCGTCCTCAGTGCAGGACTTTGCACTTGTTGAACCTCATGAGACTGCTTTTGTCCCAATCCTCCAATTTGCCTAGGTCTCTCTGAATCCTAGCCCTCCCCTCCAGTGTATCTACTACTCCCCCCAGCTTGGTGTCATCTGCGACCTTGCTGAGGGTGCGCTCCATCCCATCTTCCTGGTCATTGATGAAGACATTGAACAAAACCAGCCCCAGGGCCGACCCCTGAGGCATGCACTTGATGCTGGCTGCCAACTAGACATCCAGCCATTGGTTCCTACCCTCCCGGCCCAATGATCCAGCCAGCTTTGTATCCACCTTACGGACCATTCATCCAGCCTGTACCTCCCTAGCTTTCTTGTGGGAATGCTGTGGGAGACCGTAGCAAAAGTCTGCTTTCAAGCACTCTGTGGTGGAAGTGCTGGGGAAGAGGCAGAGGAGAGGCTGTGCGTGCATGAGGCAGAGGAGGCAGCAGCCAAGAGAGCAGGAAACGCCAGGCCCCAAGGACAGGGGCTCCAGGACCACTGCGCCCAGAAGGCAGAGAAGAGTGGTGATGTTTGGTGACTCCCTTCTGCACCAATTTGCCATCCCGATTTGGGGGCCCAGGTGGTGTGCAGCTTGCCTGAGCCCAAATTCAGGATGTCACAGAGAGACAGCTGGAGGAGGGCTGGGGACTTGCAGGGGGACCGTGCTGGAAGCGCGGGACGATGGAGGAGGGCTGGGGACTTGCAGGGGGACAGTGCTGGAAGCGCGGGACGGGCGGCAGGACGACGGCGGAGGG